TGTGTAATGCAGAGATACTTTAAATAAAAACATATTTCAAACCTGCAGCCTAAGGTAACGCATTTGGTTTTAAACATTTTGTTCTCCTAATGAAATTAAAACTGGTGTCTTGTTAATAAAGGAACGGACACCGTGAATTAGGGATATACTTCCAGTATTAGGCATGGCTATTTTGAATAAAGAAAAGTCTTCCAAGTGTAGTGCATAGATACTTCAAATGAAAACATTCTAAAGTGCTAAATGAAAGTTCTAAATAAATAAATAAATAAAATACTTCCAGTATAAGGGACATATACGTCAACAAAAGAAAATTTTTAAAGTATAAAAGTTTCTTTACAGTAGAGCCATGCCATATATACAGTAAAAAGTGCAAATGTAGTTGTAGTTATTTTCTTAAAGGACACAAAATATGCAAAGAACAGAAAAACTGTCTGGTGTCTTCTCAGTTAAAAAGAATCCTAAAATCAGGCACAACACTGAGATTTTGTTTAATACACACCATTTGTCATTTGTAAGGCCCTAAAGATTATTAGCCAGGAACACAAGCTTGTCCACAGTCTCTGGTTTCAACAGAGACCGGTGGCATGTAACAATGTTGCCACCAAAGCTAAATGCCCTTTCCGAAGGAGCACTTGTGGCCGGGATACAGAGATATTTCTGGGCCAGTCTAGCCACCCTTGGAAAATTAGCTTGGTGCAGCCGCCACCAGTCCAGTGGGTCAGTCTCTCCATCAACCTGCATTGTCTGCAGGTAACTTTTTAGCTCTATTTCGATGACCTCTCTGTCAGCGAGAGCAGCTGTGCCATCGGAGGTCTTTTTGAAAAAGCTTCCCAGGCTCCGTTTTACCTTCTTTGATTGCCTCAAAGAAGCTGCTTCAGCACCATCAGTTGCTGCTTCTGTGCTTGTGTGCGGCAGTGGCTCTCTGACCGTTGCAGCTTGGGTCCGTTGTAGTAGCAAAGTATTTCAAGTCACGCAGCTCTTTTTCAACATTTTCACGGAGCTCGGCATACACTTTTGGCATCTCTGTTTCTGTGAAGTATTTGCGGCTTGGCACCTCATATCGTGGATCAATAGCTCTGATCATGGCTTTAAAGCCGCGTCTCTCTACCGTTTGAAAAGGGACCATGTCCTTACACAAGTAAACAGTTATGGCCCTGGTAATTTCAATCCATCGCGGGCTCTTCCTGATATAAGGAGTACCTTTTGAAAATGACTGTTGGATTGAGGTTTGGATCAGTTCCTGTTTTTTCTGTCCTGCGTTCTTCTTCGTACTGGATTTTGCGGTTGGCTGCATTGCCTGGCAATGCTGGTATTCAACGACATGTTTAGTTTTGAGGTGGTAGAACAGATTAGTCGTGTTACCTCTCTTAGCTGGAACTTTTGCCCCACACACTCTACAGAGTATATTTTCCTGCTGCTCGTCGGACGGCTTAAATCCAAACCAAGTCCAAATAATAGATGTTGCACCCGTCTTTTTCACGAGCTCCTCTGTTTCGCTGACGCTTTCAGCCATGTTTATTCAAGATGACGAATATGATGATGCGTTGCAGCCGGCTGCAGCTCGTGGCTCTAAATTTCGCGGGTAGATTGCGTCATCAACATGCATTATCGCGATAGTGCAATAGAATTAAAATCTCTATCGTAGGCCAATTTTGTATCGTTTATATCGCATATCGTTTATATCGCCCATTACTAGGCACAAGGGCTGCCTCGACGGCACTTCGTAAAGACGCGAGGAGACAGTGCTAGCCCGAAGGGGAGAACCGCGTACTGATATGCCTTCCCCTCGAAAGCAAACCGAAGAAACGGTCTGTGTCGAGGAAGAATGGAGACATGAAAGTAGGCGTCCTTCAGGTCGATCGCTGTAAACCAATCCTTTGGCTGAACACATTCGAAAATGCGTTTGGCCGTGAGCATTTTGAACGGAAGCCTGTTAAGGGATCGGTTCAAAACGCGCAGGTCCAGGATTGGCCGTAACCCACCGGATTTCTTCGGTACAATGAAGTAGGGGCTGCAGAACCCGGACTTCATTTCGGCTGGAGGGACAATCTCGACCGCACCTTCGCCAACAAGGTTGCGACTTGCGCACGCATGACAGGGGCATTGCCACCGACCATAGTGTAGCGGACTCCCCGGAGGCGGGGAGGAGATCATGCGAACTGAATCGCATAGCCGAGCCTGATGGTCCTGGCGACCCAGCAGGACAGGTTGGGAAGCTGAAGCCAGGTTCCCAGAAACTGTACCAGCAGGGTCATGGGGACCACAGACGTACCCTCGGTGAGACAGCGAGGCAGTATGACTGGCTCGGACTGGGGAGGCATAGCGTCCCTGTGTGGGAGCACAGTCATAGACCGCGTCCACTGGGGTCTCGTCTGACAGGGGTCTGGCGATAGAGGGGGACGCGAGTGGCGAGGCTCGTAAGCGGCGCACACTGTCGTCCGAGAACTCTGTGTGAGAGGGGAGCGAGAGTGGTGAGGCTCGTAAGCGGCACGCACTGTCGTCCGCACACTCTGGGAGTGAGTCAGTTCTGTCATTAACCACATTGGGGTGCCGCTGGCCAAAAGATTCTCCCCTGGCCCTCCACCGGGGGAAGGAGTGGCCCTGCTACCACCTCCTCGCAGAACTGTAGCCCTTCTCTGAGCTGTCCGCATCAGGAGTGCCGCTTGGCCTGGCGTTTAGCGGGCGGCGGGGCTTAAGCGGACTGGGACGCCTTCCTGCGTCCACCTCCACGGCGCAGCCCGGGTGAAGGCTGCTGCTGGGGCCGAGCGGGAGGGGCGGGAGTCGCAAGAGGGCGTCCTCGGCGGCGAACAGACTGATTGGACTGAGCGAGCATGCGGTCACCTTCGTCGCTCGGAGAGCGAGGTCGGTGGCGGCACGCAGCTCATCAAAGAGCCCTTGGTCAGCTCTACCCTCGTGCATGTCCCTGAGCATCCTGGCCTGGTAGACCTGGAGGATGGCCATGGCATGCAGCGAGGCGGCGGCGTTCCCCGCAGCTCTGTAGGATTTCGCCACCAAAGTAGACGAGACGGGTGCGCTGATGAGAGTCAGCGCGTGCAGCCCCCAAGAACCAATCATCCAACCGCGAGCGCTCAGGGCAGGGTGGAGGGTTCCACGGTAACCCGATGCTCGCGGCGGCCCGGGAGAGCATAGCTGTCAGTTCTGGATCGGACTCGGACAGTGCTGGGACCCCGGGGGGCGGCAGCACAGCCGAATCCTCATCCCCAGAAGATTCCAGCTCTCCTTGCGATGCGGCGATCGACATCATATCCTCCTCTGGAGCCCCGAATGAGATGCGAGGCACATCCGAAGACGGCCCCGCGGCTGCACCCAAGAAACTCGTGGGTTGCTGCGCTGGTGAGGGGTGTGTGGCCCAAGGAAGCATCGTCGGGGCAGTATTCCACACCGTAACCCTCAGATCACCCTGGCCACCAGCCGAAGTACCAGCTCTCGAGGAGGGGGTAGATCGGGTTGTGGCAGAGGGGACTCTACCTTTAGTAAGGTCATGGAGTCTTGATCTCAACGCAGCGATGGTCATGTTCCCACAGTGAGAACATGACTCATCCATGAAAGCTGCCTTAGCGTGTTCTAAGCCTAAACACGCAAGACAGCGATCATGCCCATCAGAGGGAGAAATGGCACGACCGCACCCAGAAACACACGGGCGAGATATCTTGAAAAAGACGTGCCCGTGCAAGCTCTTTTGTGAGAGGACGCTCAGCAGCCTGCGCTGAAGCGGCCAGGGAGAAACACACACGCTGGATGCAGACCACTGCACAGATCAGCAGGCAGGAATGTGAATCTCGCTGGAAAATCGCCTTTGCACCAACACAGACTGGAGAGCTGCTCGTCTCGAAGACACTCGATGACAGTCAGAGAAATCAGGCTTGCAGGAGTGAAGAGGATCTCTTGGCTCCGAAGCAGAAACATGTCTGCATTCTGCCAGCGTTCTTCCTTATATACCCACGAGGTGGGGCGGAGTTACGCTATGCAAATTCCGCAGACCCATGGCATTTCTTTGCCATTGGCTCGTTTTTTAACACTCAAAGGTGATAGGCTTCTAAGCAAAACCCCCTTTCGTCGTCATTTCGACGTAACTCGAAGTGACTACAAAAGGGAACCTCAGTTCCTGCCATCTTTGAAAAGCCAAGCCAATGTTTTTTCTCGTTTTATTATGAGCTCTATCGTGTTCTCTTTTTGGCAGCAGACTCTCGTCTGTTCGGCATTTGTTTAAAACGGGTGATTCCCCGGAGGTTGGAGATTTAGCGTGCTCCATGTCAACCTTTCTTGCTCGCTTTGACAACTATGCCACTCCCACAGCATACACTCATCAAAGTGGCTTGAGCAGCTTTTCTCTATTTATTGATATTACGAGACATGCACAGGCGAGCGACGCATGTACGCAATTTACTGCGAAAACCATCCTGTCAGGTCTAAAATATAAAAACTTAAAATAGGCTTACCATAGTGAATAAGGTTAAAAAATATATATTTTGGAAGAAGGATTGATGATGTATTATCATTTAAATTTAGTTAATTTTGAACACAAAAAAGTTACAATTGATATTACGAGACATGCACAGGCGAGCGACGCATGTACGCAATTTACTGCGAAAACCATCCTGTCAGGTCTAAAATATAAACACTTAAAATAGGCTTACCATAGTGAATAAGGTTAAAAAAATATATATTTTGGAAGAAGGATTGATGATGTATTATCATTTAAATTTAGTTAATTTTGAACACAAAAAAGTTACATAGTGTACTTTTAAATTTTGGTCAGATATTTTTATAGTGCTTTTTGTTCATTTTTGGAACTTGACAGCACCAGTCCTTCACTTTTGTTGTATGGAAAAGAGCAGCCATGACATTCTACTAATCCCCTTTTGTGTTTCAGAGAGGAAAGAAAGTAAATGATGACCGAATTTGTTATTTGGTTGAACTATCCCTATTTTGCTCAAGGGAACAACCAAAACTGTTAATTTTCTCTCCCCCTCTTACAGCAAACGTTGTTCGTGGGTTCACAGTCGGGTGTTGTCCAGGTTCCTCTGCACCGCTGCAGTATGTACGGTAAAGCCTGTGCCGAGTGCTGCCTGGCTCGAGATCCATACTGTGCCTGGGACGGACACACCTGCACACGCTACCTGCCAAACACAAAACGGCGTTACCGGAGACAGGACATCAAACATGCAAACCCAGCACTGCAGTGCATGGACCAAAACCTCAGTGGTAAGAAAGAAGGAGAGAGGTGGCAGCCTCCTTAACTGAGTGCAGCCATGCAGCATGAATGTCAATGCACCAGTGGCATCCTCTGACAACTTCAATTTCATTTACATGTCAAAGAGCTCACTGATGTGAAAGCATAAGAGAAGAGCAATTCCTCCGGAGATTTGAAGTTAAATTGTTTAATCATTTGAATTAGAAACTTCAATACACCTTTGAGCTTGTTCTAATAGGAAGATTAATGGGGTTTAAAGGGCAAACTGAGACAAACTCTCTGTGAAAGACAGGAACTGATAGAGTGAGAGATGAACAGACAGATCACTCCCCATCTCTCATCACAGAGGAGAGAGAGAATGAGAGGAAAGAACAAAAGAGGTGTGAGTGAAGAGCGCTTGAGTGTTTGCATGCCAAAGGTGAGGATGTTGGTGATGAAAAGGGATTATGTATGTGTACTCTTATCCAAACACATATGCAGTGGAAAATCCCTGACTTGCCTTACTCTGAACCGTGTTGTGTGACTGTGTTAAAGTGTCATGTGATTTTCTTTGTAGTGGAGGATCTGGATCTGACTGAAGAACGGGTCATTTATGGCACTGAGAACAACAGCACCTTCCTGGAGTGCATCCCTCGATCACCACAGGCCACTGTCACATGGCACATTCAGAGAGATGACCACTTAGAAGAGGTGAGAGACATACAAAAGGATTAGAAGATATCTACAAGGACACCAAAAAAGTATTTGGACACTTAAAAATGTTGAAAAATCATTGCATTATATAAGGGGTTTTAAACTATTTGATGCCAGGGTTCTCTTTGTTAAAGCTGCTGTCTGTAGCTTTTTTTGGGTTAAAAATGATCCAAAATACATATTTGATAAAATACATAACCAGCCAGTGTTCAAAACTATCTGCTTGCCTTAGCTCGATTCAAAACGGTAAGCTTGTAATAATGTTTTTAACTCCAGTGGTACTGGTGGATTTCCGCGGGAGATGTGAGCATCTTTGCGTCATTACGTCACATCTGTACACATAAAGGAGGAGTCACGGCTAGTAGGCTATATTGCGTGTGAGGATGTTGGAGGTGGAGATTTATTGCCTTTTCTCACAGCACTTGATATAATTAAACTTATCAATTTGATGGCGGATCCAGAAAGGTTCAAACTACAATCACCAGAGACAACAGATTTACCCACTGTAAAATACAAAAGACTTCGTTCGGACATCGGAGTGGCTACAGAAAAAAAGAGACTGCAACCGGACCCATGCGAAAACAAGGATAATATCGGAAGGACATTACATGTAGTCACGCAATGCTGACGTTGTTAACATTAACAATGTGAGAACAAAGTATCATTTGCACGGTTTTGCGTGATATAATTATAATAATAATTATATAACTTATAATAACTTATAAGCGATTGTTAGATTTAATCAGCGCGATTTACTGCAATGTCAGAACCAGAACAAGGGTGGATGTTTCTTACTTGTTCAGATGACATTTTCCGGTGAAAATTCTTATGTTGGTTATACTTCCAAAAAGAATAGGCTAATCTGTGATTCTGAATGCATCCACACCGGCGTGGTGATTGACAGCTGCTCACTCTCCTCAAACACTGTGTTCATCCGCGCTGTGCCGTGTCGAGAGGGTGTTGAAGTACTACTCACGTAAAGTTGATAATTCCGCGAATGATTGCAATTGCAGATTTCGAACAGAGATGGCGACAAAGAGGAAAAACGCCGGACTGCAGCTTTAAAGACATACTGTTTCTGGCTTCAAGTCTACTCCGTTTCAAATGAATCTCAAAAGCCTTTTATGTGGACTATTAATTTATAGAACACCTCTTTGGTCATTTTTGACTGAAAAATTTTACTTTTGTTTTTTTTTTTGAATTTTTTTCTTCATCGGAATGGTACGAAACTTGGTAAAGGTTTTGGCACTTGTGAACACAACATGAAACACAAAAACACACAAAAAAACGACATGATTCTAACAGGTTAAATGGTCCTGAAAAAAATAGTCACACTTGTACTCTTCGCTGTCAAAAATGACCTCATAGGGAATAAATGGGAGACGAATTTCACCTAGTGAAAACTAATGCGGCCAAATTAAATTAAATTAAATTTTACGTTCACTGTTTAACTTTTTTCACTTCAGCAATACTCTGCCAAGTGTCATCTTTGCAAAGAGATCAAACTTAAGTCTGTGCTCTAAAGCATTTGAGATTTTACGGCAGTTTAAGTTGGAAATGTAATTGGACATTCATTTAATTGAAATTAAAACAAATATTTCAGAAAGAATGAATCATGTGTCTGCCCAACTGAGATTTTACTATGGAGATCAAGGTTAGGATTATGATTTTGCAGTAGTACTACAGCACACATTGAGTGTATATTAGCATTTTTGTTTGCTTCTGGGATCTCATAGATTTGGACCTGGAAATGGTGACGTGTGACATCAGGTTTAACAAGTGGATATAAAGGCAACTATATATTTTCATTTATAAAGACCATTTTATAATGTGTTAGAAAAATAGTGAGTGCGATAAGGACAACATGCTGTTAAATTTCAAGAGAAATCTCAAGCTGTAAAATAATATTTTTTTTACAAATTGTGACATTTTATAAAAGTGCCTTTTATATTGTCATTGCACTAGAGTCCAAATAAATTAAAATAGATGTAAAATACAAAATATTTACTTCATATGCAGTATTTATTCTCTTTACTATTAGGCTGCATTTACACTTCAGGTCTTGATGCCCAATTCCGATCTGTTGACTATATCTGATTTTTTTGATGACCAGCTTACATCTTTTAAAAGTGACCCATATCCGATATCTGCACTTACACTATACACTTGGCGAAATAACCCAAGGTAGACGTGTTGACCCGGAAAAGCTTAGGCTGAAAAGGAAGTAAAAATGGAGCGATTTGCAATAGATGCAGAGGAAATGATAATACAAGCATTTGCTCTCCACACCATATTTAAAGGTCAGCAAAACATTGGGTTGAGCCTTCATCCTTTATTGCCCCTTTGAAAAGAGTCGTGTGATTGCAGTTGGTGTCCACCTGAGTTGACCTCATTCGTCACCTTCACTTTTTCAATGATGTACGACTCGCATTGACAAGTGAATATCCGATCTGCCCACTTACATGGCAGACGCAAATGCGCATATCCGATTCATATCAGCTTTATTTCCACATATTGAATGAAATCTGAGAATATCAGGATCCATGTGCTTTTTTCCTGCTTGCACGTTTGTGGGTCATATCCGATCTGTGCCACATGGGAGGAAAAAAATCGGAATCAGTTTCGTTTGTATAGTCAACCACACACACACAAAAATACTGTTCCAAAGTAGCATTAGAATGAATTTTGGTTTACAACACACACTGAGCAGACTTAAGGCGGTAATGGTGAGGAGAAACAAGTACAAACTATTCTAGAAAGTACTATGTTACAAAGAAGTAAAAATGAACAACAAAATATAAATTTTCAAAATTCTCAAAATTTTTACAAAAGCTCACAATATATTTCACGTTTAAATTATTAACCAATAAATATACATTTTAAAATGAATACATTTGGACACATTTTGTATATGAAATGCCCATTGTGGCGAGCAGGACGAGGCCGAGGGCCGTGAGAGAGGTGTGAGGCCGGTGGCATGATTAGGCTACTGATGAGCGACACCTGTGCGACGCACCGGTCTCGTATCTCTCTCACGGCCCTCGGCCTCGTCCTGCTCGCCACACCCATTGTTATGAATAGGTGTGTTTTTACTTTTAAGACACTTTCAAATATCTACTGAAAATAACCTTGAAACTAATTGGTGAGCAGTCATTGGGAAAGAAAAGTTAATTTGTTTGCAGATCCCATTTTGTTTCTCTAATGCAATGAAATGTATTCATTTTATTTATGTATTAATTTACTGTATTTGAGAAAGAAACCATGTGATTTGTACATTTCCAATCATTTCTCTTTTCCTCTCTGTTCAGGTGGTATTAGATGAACGTATCATTAAGACAGATGACGGTTTGTTGTTCCGGCGTGTGTTACGTCAGGACGAAGGCATCTACGTGTGTCGATCTCGGGAACACGGATTTTCGCAAACACTCTCACGCTTCTGGTTGGACGTCTTACACGCCGACGCCCTTTCGGACCTCCTGTCACGTGACAGCAAGTATAAAGTGTGGTCACCGTGCCCCGCCAGCACAGCCCCTGCCAACCGTGGGCCAGCCAGGGCGTGGTTCAAAGACGTCTTGCAGCTGATTGGTCCTTCAAATTTGCCGCAGGTGGAGCAGTACTGCGAACGCGTTTGGTGTAATGAGAAGCTAAGACGCAAACACAAAAGCATGATGGACAAATATCGGCAAGCGCAGGACTCCACACGGAAATCACGAATCCAAAAGAGCACGGGAGAATCCCGAATCCGCTCTCCACGGGACCTCAACACACTAGAGTAAAATACAGACCCACGTGAAGCAAAATGGACTTCCAATGGAAAAGTGGACTGGATTTTTAGATGCCCTTATACACACACATAAACACTTGCGTTTGGTGATGTAAAATAATGTAGGTTTTATGTCTAGCAGTCCAAGCTTTCTCCATGTTAATTAGGACATTCTTGAGCCTCCTCTCCAAATATTCCTGTGACCAGGACAGCCGGCCCTCATCACTTCACAGTAGACCGTGGCTAATGTCTCACTTAAGAACTTAGCAGCTGCAAAATCTTTTTACTGGAACAAATGAGGGTAGACAGGATGGGACTAGTAGACTGGAGCGCTGCCACTGCTATAACAGGTGCCAAAAAACATATATTCATTTAAGATTCGTCTGGCTGTGATACGACAGGGCATAATGCTTAGAGACTTTTCCTCAACTGAGAGCTATGGCAGTGCTCAACAAAACTCAGCTTGCCAGTTCATTAAGCTGTAAAGAATTAAAAGTTTGGACTAATTAGACTATTTTCTGGTAACTAAATCATAGGTTGACGACCGTTGAGACTTCAACAGAACTGATTTTGTTCTTAATCAGCTTGAAACACCACATCGCGATCATGAGCTACAGAGCTTTGTACAGGGTCAGTTTACTTTTCATTCTTTGCAAAGTTTTGGTAACACTTTATAGTAAGGTCTAATTCTTAAGTTAATGCATTAGCTAGTATGAAATAGCAATGGACAATAATTTTACAGCATTGTGACTTTTTTGACATTGTATAAATGAACATCAATTTATTATGAATGAACATGAATTAATGGTATATTTATAAATTAACATTAACCTAGATTCATAAATGCTGTAAATACTGTTTGTTGTTAGTTCATGATACTTAATGCATTAATGTTATCACGCAGCTCACTGGAATACTCGACTCTAATTGGTCAATAATGGCATTCAGTGGTCTGATTTTTCTTAATCTCTGTTGTTATGCATGGCAATGCTGTAACTGAAACTGGCGTTATGTATCACACCGCAGACTCGCTCTTTCTTGTTTCTCAAGTTGTGTCCAAATGCCCAACTAGACACTGTGTACCTATAACTATGTATTACTCTTCCGTCAAGTGAATGATTTTTAGAAGGTTTATTTTGTCATTCAGCATTTTGTCATTGTCGTCTGAACCCTACACTACCCCTTTATTCTACTCTAAAGTTGGACTGCTGAGTGCAAGAAGTGTTCAACATTCTACACTTAGTTATCTCGGTTAATCATCATCCATGCACTCTCTGGGTGTTTGAAGTGAACTTTTTCTTTTTGGTGTTTTCAGTATGAACACACTACTCAAGGTGCGTCCCAATTCACAGCGCTAATTGTGTACTGGAGGGGGAGAGGCTAACAGACTCCAATTCTGGATGAGAAAATAACTGGATAAAATTCATACACAAGACGGTTGAGTACATAGTGCATATACAGTAAACGCATAGTGTACACATGACTATAGAAACACGGCTGGTGTTATCTTGTGTGTGAGTTATCAATTGTTTTGGAAATGACCTCTGAGAACTTTTATTATTAATATTACTGCAAGGCCTTTGCTGTGTTCATCTTTTTTCTATGCCGATTTTGTACAGTATGTTGTCGTGGACTTTTTTTGTTTTAGCCGCAGTTAAAGATGCTATTCTGGTAAGACTATAATTTAAACTCAATATGTCATGTGCACATATTTATTAGGTGAATAACCATGTATTTTAACGACCACCTAACTTTTTCATGAATTGAACCTTATTATAAAGTATTAAAATGTTTTAATCATATATAATTTAATTGATGCAATACCAGACAGCTGATTTGATGTTTTACCATTCATTGATGCAAAAGCTGTTCAGCGGCTAAAGTAACCTTGATGCGAACATCTGTGCCCTTTCTCGCTGTTCACATTCACTAGTTTACTTTGTACATCTATACGAAAAACTCCTGCATCACTTGAACCATTTATTTATTTATAGTTAGAAAGGTCTGGGGGGAAAATGAACGCTTTCTCTAAAACATTGCTGTCTGTACAAATCTTTCCTGGAGATGGAGAGAAAGTGTTTGGCCTGCAAACTTTCTCCAATGTTTTTTTAGAACTTCAGGAGAAAAATCATCAAACCTCTGGAACAAATCAAACAAAAGAAACAAGCTCACTTAATATAATTTTATCTGTTCATTGCCCTGACAGGACTGACTGCATAGACTTGCACTGAAACTGCTTTTTGTGAATGGGTACAGCAGAACTGCTCTGATCCTTCATTTGTCATCAGCTTTTTAATGTAAATACAACATTAAAACAATAATCTGACTGGAGTCCTATACTTTTAATAACATGAACAGCATCTTTTTCACTCTTTTTAAACGTTGATTGTACTGATTTTAGTTCATTTTCTCTGTATATAAAATACAGCATAAATGCAGTGTTTTAACCAGTGTGTCTGATATATTTATGTGTTATTTAAAAGTGATTCTTGCATGCAGAAAACTCCGACCTCTGTTTGGTTCAGTGATACATAAATAAAATATTTCACAGAGAGTTTTATGGGTTTTTGCTTCACACCGGGTCAGCTCAGAGCGACCCCCTCTTAGCGGGACCCAGGGGTTGGGTGTGACCCTTCAGCATTACAGATATTCCTTTTACGATCTCCATCGTGTGCTGGTTTATCATGCTGAAAAGGTCTTTTTCTCCTGAGATTGTCTTTGTCAGTGCTCAATTTAAAAATGACTCCATTCAAGTGAGGTCATATGTTAGTGTCATTAGTCATTACGAGGCTCGACATTAGGAACAAAGCGGCTGTGCTGGGATATATTTCTGCTGGAGAACAGACCACAGTAAAAGAGCTATAAAATCAGTGAAGACGTTCATAAACTAGACCCAGCCAGAATCGAAACACCAGCTAAACGAGGCCCAAATGTGCGTTTATATGTGATGTAGTTAGCAGGTTGATGTGGTTACATTGTATAAATGTCAAACTGCCATGGTTTCGCTCTCAGTGTTAAAAAGTTAATTGCAAAGTCATGTATCTCTGTTTTTATTTCTACTTGTTTTTAGAACCCAGACCTGAAGAGTAAACTTTGTCACATAACTCGCCTCACCTTTGGTGCAAGAGACTATTTACCCAGAATTACTCAGGGGGCGAATCAGGGGCGAAAAGCATTCAAATGAGCTAAAACAACTAAAAAATAAAAAATGTACCCACTTTCTTTGAAGAACCAAGAGTCCCACAGTTTTAGAAAACTTAGAAATCACACTTTTAAAATTAGGCTTCATCATATATCCAAGTCTGGAAAAGTCATGAAAATTAATAGGCCTACACATTTAAAAGGCCATGTTTGGGCATTTTTATTTTGTGTTTTGGGGGCTTGAAAATGTAAACTGTTGAAAACGGGTTTCATAGTGCAAGTTTTTGAAAACGATACCGTCTCCACGTAAACTACAAAAATGCTAATTTATGAAAACACTGACGTCACATGCATGCTTATTACATGTTTAGTCTATAGGTGCGTGGTTTTTTCTTTACAAAGTGACACCGCCAACTACTGGCCTTTCAGCATAAGATAATACATCGTTTTTAGTAGTTTTCGTAGATCCGTGTGAGCGGGATAGTTTTTGACAATGTTGTCAACTGTATAGGCTTGAAAAACGTATCTGTTTTTATCACATCATTGTCTTGTAAACGTAGGCTACTCTTAGTTCATGTTTGGTTTTTTGGGGGGTTTTTTACCATCACTTTCGGCTTTATTTTGAGTGGATTCACTAGTGTATGGGTGCATGGAAATCATTTCACTTTGGCAGTATCATAAAGTGAAAGCATAAAATGTATTTCTTTCATGTGTTTGAAACAGTTTAATTACAATAACCTTTCAGGGTTCTTTCAACTTTAGAAGGGAAGGGAGTCAAACATTATCTCTTTATGCCTCTTTTAAAGTTAAATAGCATTGTGGATGTAACAGATCAAAAAGTGCATGAATGTGAGAAAGGCACTGAACTGCATCTAGTGTCTACAGTATTTAAACGGATACTGTGCATTTCCTATCATTTAATTCTTTGCCAAAATCTTGTGTTTTATTTGTCTTTGTGTGAAAGTTCACAGAAAGAATCAGAGTTTGATCTTAAACCATAGTAGCATATTTGGCTATTGTTCATATTCGGGGTTAGTAACTTGCTCAAAGCCTTAAACCTATGCTATTTGTACCAAACTTTGGCACATATCTTGCACTGTTTGTGCTACAGACAATAATGATATCGAAGTTGCAGAATTTACAAAGCAGCGGAAGACAACTTTGTTGCTTACTGGACGAAACAAGGCCATAATACCAATAGACACACTTTAGAAACATACTGTACTTGGGAATGTTGTAGGACTAACTCCAACTCTGTAGCAGGTTTTGCGAGCAAGCACCACTCAAAACTCAGTCAGTTTTTAATAAAATGTATTTATTTTTTACAACAAAAACCTTTTAATTTAGGGTCACCTCATCCCAAGTCTGCCTGACTGTATCCTGTTTCAACACAACCTCACATTTATCTGAAGTGCTCTAACTCAAGCTTAGCAAACACAAACACTTAGTCATTAAGCGAAGGCTGCGGAAGTATGTGTAAGTAACTGCTCTAAACAGTGAAATACCGCAGCTGCAGGAACTGTCATCATTGACGCACACTACTGACCCACTTCCTGTTTAGAAACATGAACAAACACCCTCATGGTCCAATCGGGCACAGTGTTGTGCTAGTTACTAAGAAATAGTAACTAGTTACAGTTACTAGTTACTTCATTCAAAAAGTAACTCAATTACTTTGTTGATTACTTACACCAAAAAGTAATGTGTTACTGTTAAAAGTAACTTTTTAGTTACTTTTTTAAAGAAAGTTCTTAAATGTTCCCATTAATGCCCTTTTATGCGTTATGGTATACAAACACAAAACTGACTTAAACAGAAAGTCATTTTTAAACACTATTTTATTTAAGTCAGACCAGCACAAACTGAATATATCAAGGATTTCTGAAATAAATAACAAAACAAGCATTTTTAAAGCTAGTGCACGACTTGTTTGCTTTCTCAACATTGATATGTTCATGCAGCTGACAGTATACGTTTTTACCACTGTGGTTTTTACTGCATGAATTAATATTTGAGCAATACAATTGTACTTTAATCATTCTTGTTAGTTCATAGTAGGCCTACATTAACTAAGGAGATACAAATACATCTAACAATGAATGATACTTCTACAACATTTATTAACCATATTTAATGCTAAAATTGTAATCTTATTGTAAAGTGTTACCATTTATATGATTCAAGCTTAAAGAAGATGGCCATATTTAAATATCTGCAAAGGCCAGAGCATTAAAATTACATAAATGTAGACCTATATTACAGTCTTTCACTTTATTTGCTTAAATGTTAGAACACTTGATTAGACTTGATGTCGGCTGCATGAACATATCAATGTAAGCAATCAATCACGTCACTAGTTTTAAAAATACAACTTCGCCGGCTAATGAATGCATAAAAGTAACCAGCTGGATATAAACTAATGCATATAGATGGTAACAATTGCGATATAAAACATGTGGGTCAGGTCCGCGTGTGTTTTTGTCACATTGCTTTAATCGCTTGAGGTAAGTTAGCCGTTACTAATGTTATTCCTCTCAGACTCGACGGCAAGCTTCTGTTCTTTCTCTGCTGCTGATGCAGCATCTAGTCAAAAAATGTATTACTTTATAATGATATGGCAATGTGTACTTAAGTGTTCTGTATTCATACCGTTTCGCTGTCTGTGTTTTAAATGCGCATCAAGTGCGCTCTCCGTGCAGCTTGTAATCTCCGTGCTCGCGCTGCCTCACGTGTACGTAAACAACTCAGCCAGTGAGTTTGTTATGTGTCCTCAGGTGTCCTCTCGCTCTGTATAATGCTAGCAGTCTCTTCAGTGCTCTCGTACTGTGTAATGACAGCGCACACTTCTCAGCCGCTCCAGCAACTTATTAATTTAAAAAAGTAACGGACAACGCGCCATATGGTAGCCTAACGGTAACGGAGTTAATTTATTTAAAAAGTAATGCGTTACAGTATTAGTTACTGTCAAAAGTAACTGCGTTACAGTAACGCATTACTAGTAACGCGTTACTGCCCAACACGGGCATACCTGTTTACAAAGGATTTTATTCCCCATACACATTTAGCACTATAGGCTACTGAGCAGCACAGCTGTAGACATATTCAGTCACCTTACAGAAAGATGCACACTGCCAAAGTATGAATGGAAACACCATTGCTCACTCACAATCAGTCAAGGGGCTTCATTACAGCCAGTTTAGCGCAGGTTAAGGGCCACACATGCTTTCTCAGTAAGCTAGTGTGTGGTGAGCGTTCTGGCGCAATATGGCTGCCGTCGCATCATCCAAGTGGATGCTGCACATTGGTGGTGGTTGAGGAGATCCCCCCCTCTATGTAAAGCGCTTTGAGTGCCTAGAAAAAGCGCTATATAAATGTAATGAATTATTATTATTAATTATTATTATTATTCTCTCTTTTTCTGTCCAGTTTCCCACATCCCTTATAATTAGATCCACAAATAATATTTTCTAAAGCCTTATTAACTCTTAAGTAACTCATTATCATTGTTTGGGCAGGTTGTGTTTTTCTATGCCACTTGTACAAACTCATCTTTCTCTGCTCATCTTGTATCTTCTCCTCCGATGTCATGGTTTGTTTTTTCAGCCTCTGATACTCTCTCGCTCTGTCTGTCTGATCTGACGTATGTGAGACAGAGCGAAAGACGGAAAATAAAATATGTGTGCAAGAATCTATAGCTAGTGAGACAGTCTGTCGACACTGAGACCATGCTTTCTTAAATCAACACCTCTAATGAGAGCCTGAGAGGTTAAGGAGTATAGTGAAGGGTTAATTAGGCCTAATTAGCATCATTAATCATTACAGCTGTCACAGACAGACAATAAGAGACATTACTACCAATTAGCAGACGGAACAATGTGTGGCAAGTTGTTGTGTTTTATGTTGTGCATTTTTTGCAATTAAAAAATAAAGAAAGAAAAAAGTGTCATCTTATTGCTGTTTCAAGAATCATTTTATGTTTAATTTAAATCCTTTTATGTTTCAATTATTCTGTCCCAACCCCCCCGATATCCTTTAACTTAAAGTAATGAGACAAATTTTTTTTTGTACAAAAACAATTTTTAAAACAAACCTTATATGGAGTTAAAAGTGTGACAAACTAGCATGAAACACAGCAGTGCACTCGAGTGGTGAGATTGCGCTAATGCACACACAGAGTTTTGTCACAATTTTCATTCTTTCTCTTACCTCACACTCGCTCTATCAAAACTAAAACAGTGTTATTTTGAATTAACTGTATGTTTTATTGTGTTAATCATTTACAGTCTGATGCAACAACCCACAGAGAAAATACCCAGGGAGTAATACAGTGTTCATGTCAACTTTGGCCTTTGACCTTTGACTTGTCCACAAAATGAAACTCACTTTTCCCCAATGTACAGAAATTCTAATATTTAACAGCACAAACACACAGAGCCTCTCTCACATTAACACACACACACACACACACAATCCCCCTCTCTCTCTCTCAAAAGCTGAGAAGCGTCACAAAGCAGAAAGAGAACAAGATTAGTTGGAAAGGCTGTATATAGTCTTTTAAATGACCCAGAATGTGGTTTTTAAATGGAGTGTGTCAGGTTAGGTCTTTATGTATTCAAAATTTGGGAAAGAATTTCAAAATATACACACAAGGACGTTCTCATATTCTCCTCATTACACATAGGTCAGTTTTTTTCACAAACCACAACAACACATTAAGCTTAGCTTATTTTATCAATCCATAAATATACGATGAAAATATCAGATAATCTCGCAGAACAGTTTTAAAACATGGTCTTTCCATTGTAAAACAAACAAAAACTCTCGACGTTTAAAGTCATGCAAAAATTACCGTTAAGTATAACTTTTAGACAACTGATATAAATACTACCACATGATAACCAACCAGTTCTACTCAAAACATTCTTACATCCGTTTACAAATGAATCGGATTCGGAATCGATTAATTTAATGTCAAGTTTCTCTCATCGACACAGCAGAAACCACAAACACCAGAAGAGAGCGCCATAACAACACAGCGCGAGGCCATCGGGTCCACTATCTCTCCTGCGCGAGCACCACTCACTACCTTGCAGAACAGTCTAAAACACTGTAAAAAACTTTAATAGCCTTTGAATGCTTTCAATTTCTGCCTTTTTGTGGTGGTGGATATCAATTACCACATTTTTAGAGTAGCGACTATAATAATAGCCTATGGTATTTTTTCCCCAGGACGCTCCATGGTAAATTTGTAGAATTTGACTTTTGCAATCTGTATGATTCGCTCCCACATCGCTATTTGCAATGCATTAAAAAAGAAATTTGGCATCAAGCGTCTGTAAACATGCATTTACTGACTAATTCAACACTCCTTTTCCCCAGAGACAGAAAGAGTTAATTAAAAATAAATCAAAACGTGTTAGAGCTAACAACATTTTTCTTGGACACTTTTTCTTGTTTCTTGCCTTGAGAGATGGCCTTGGATCCATGTTTTCTCATTTTACCCATTATGTACTAGCATACATAAAACATTCGCTGTGCTGTTACAGAATATGATGCTCGCAGAATGCTCATTTAAACAGTGAATATGGTAAAACTGTGTAAGATTTTGAGAGTGCGATTTTCCTGCTTTTTATACAGACACATTCAAATATACATAACTATTCTGCCTTATTCGGTTTCAACAGGTTAGTTCTGAGATTAGACCTAAAAGTATCTAAAAAGGTTTCTCTGTAGATTTCCTTACTGTCTGGGACCATACATTACCCATAATCCCCCTATACATTAATGCTGTGTCTATCTCAGTCTCATACAATACATAATCAGAACACCTGACACATAACTTAGTATCTCAAAATAATAATTCACCTTTGTTACTTTGTAGATGTGCCAGAAATGTCAATTTCGCTGACCACGTTTAAGGTATAGAATTACTGTCAAATGAAAAAACTTTTACTTAAACACTCATACAGCCTTACCAGATCACAAATGTACAGTTTTTTTTTCTCCTTTTTTGTCTTTTGAGCTTGAAATGTTGTGTTTTAAGTCTTCAAGCAGTGAAAGAATAAGAAGAGAGATGATGTTCATCTGGTGCTGGTGAGTCAGGGCCAAAGTGAGAGGATAATCTAATCTACAGAACACATGTAGCACAAACACCCAGATGAAGACATAGAAGAGTATACATGGATTTACTCAATGCGTGTCCACAAGAGCCTGTGTTTACTGAATTACGCAGCACATGCATGTCTTTGCGTCTCGAAGATTTTCCTGTTACAACTCAAAGGGATTTTTTGGAGTTTTTTGAGTTTGTGTTAGTATTTTAGAAGAACTGGATGGAGTATGGGTTTCTGGAGAACCGTCAGGAGTTGGAAGGTTTGTAATAGATGTTGACAGGAGCGGGATTGGGGTCGTGGGGGCACTAGATTGAGTCTTCAGACTGGAGATGAGGCCAATAGAGTATATAGAGACTAATAACAGGCAGTGGAGTGTCGTCACAGGGGTAATAAAAAGCTGAACAGGCAATAAACAGTCAATGAATGAGATGCTGTGTGAGAATCTGTCCACCTCCAGTGGTTATTTTGCTCTTCCTTTCTGTCTCTCAGTCTCTCTTTCAACTCCACCTCTCATCCCTCGCTACTCTCCTGCGCTCCGCGGCGCTCTGGGTGCGGGTCTCCCATCATGCGTTCTGCGATTTCGTCCTTTCCTCACTTCCTTCAGGTGCTTCCACTTTTTAGAGTGCAGCGGGTCGTGAGCCGGCGCCTCATTGGCTGGACCTGGCGCGGTCTTCCCTGATAGGCTGTGCTTGCGTGACCAAACTTGCTCACAGATCTGGTCGACTGTGTTTAGGTTTGGGTGATCCACCAACTGCATGAAGTCCCTGTACCACAGCTTTTGATTGGTGGACTGCCCGTGATTGGTGTGTGCAGGGCTGCGAGGGTTAAGAGCGGAGGGGGCGGGGCCAGCCAAAGGCAAAATCTCCAGCGTGATCGCAAGGAGGTTCTGGGTGAATCCATGTTCCATTGCGTGGCACTGATACACACCGCCATCTCTACGCACGGCTCGTCTCAGCAACAGGCCTCGCTCGGTCTGCAAAACACGGTCATCTAGACGAACCTGTGAACACACACACACATACACAATAAATGCATCAAGCATCAGTAGTGATTACACTGATAGGCGAGAGAGAATGAAAGTCATTAATTTAAACAAAGACACACATTTATCATCTCTCATCAAAGCTGTCTGCATCCGTCTTTCTCATAATAACCCCACATATCTAACCCAGCCTGCCTCTCTCTCTCTCACCTCCTCCCGTGGGTTTTCCGGATGCTTCTGATAGGTCCATGTAATCTGGGCCTGTAGTGATTTTGGGATACATTCCAGGAAGGAGCTGCTTCCATCCACAGCGTACAGCCTCTTCTCCAGGACACGCTGCTTCTGATGGTCTGCAGGACACACACGCAAAACACTGTTATACTTGCATTGTCACTTCTCAGCCACTTCTAGTTACTCATATTAGAAATAATTTTAAATCATTTTGCTTTCGATTTTACACTGTATATAAAGAGGCGACACACACAACACAGTAACAAATTGTTTATCATACAAAAATGTTACCAAAAAGTAAACAAAAATGTCAATAAAACCAAACACTGAAATATATGAACTGCACAGGCTCAACAATGTGTAAAAAAAGGGATGCACCGATATTAAAATTCTGGTCAACAGCAATAACACAATAATTATTTAAATGTTATGGCAGATAACTGATAAATAGGCAATATTAAAATTCGCAGCTAATATTCTATACAATTAAATTAATTACTTTTAGGTTGACGGGATGTCATGGAACTTCTCCATGTTGGCATTTTATGTTTAATAGCATAAACTATTATTCAAAAGTTAGATTTAAAAAAAATAATAATTTAATAGCAAAGCTGAATTTTCAGCATAATTACTCCAGCCTTCAGTGTCACATGATCCTTCAGAAATCATTCTAATATGCTGATTTGGTGCTCAAGAAACATATCTAATTATTATCAAAGTTGAAAACAGTTGTGCTGATTAATATTTTTGTGGAAACCAAGATTTATTTTTTATTTTTTCAGAATTCCTTCATGAATAGAAAGTTGAAAAGAACTGCATGTATTTGAAATTAAAATCTTTTGTAACAAAATAAAAATCTTCCTTGCAGAATAAAAATATTAATTTCGTTTTAAAAACTCTTACTGACCCCAAACTTTTGAATAGTAGTGTATTTTATCTCTGGTACTTGCAGACTTGTGACCCAGCAGTTGAGATCCATTGCTTTAATTCACATTGTGAATGAATAACAGTAGTGAGAACAGAGAAATGACTCCTCCTAGAGGCTGAGAGAGAAACTGCAGTATTACCTCCTGAGCAGAGAGCATTAGGATCCCCATTCCTCACATCCTGACGCCGGAACCTTCTACACATGAATACACACACATAAACATATATACTATAAAGAAGCAAAAAAATAGCAAAAAAATACTTCATCAGGTTTGACTGTCTCTAAATGCATCTATTTTGCAATTTGAATCAGATATTCTACGTGGTCTAAAATTCAAAACAACATGTTTGATTGAAGCCCATGAAGGTTTTACCGTTTTGTGTTTGGCAGGTAGCGTGTGCAGGTGTGTCCGTCCCAGGCACAGTATGGATCTCGAGCCAGGCAGCACTCGGCACAGGCTTTACCGTACATACTGCAGCGGTGCAGAGGAACCTGGACAACACCTGTATCTGAGCCAATGTACAGCTGTTGCTGTAGAGACAGAGAAAATGATCACATGACTTACTAATATGCTGCTTTCATGTGATTCTTTAATACTGTTTAAAAATAGCAGATATTTTATAAAAACAAAGACTCATTCTCACCCGTTTAGAGGAAATCTGCATACTGGTAATAGATGAAGAATCCTGCAATAAGATTTTACAATACTTTACAATAAGGCCCCGTCATTAACTAACAATAAGCAATACATTTGTTACAGTATTTATTCATCTTTAATGTTAGATAATAAAAATACAACTATTCATGTCATTAACAAAGACAACTTTAGACAACACTGATTTTAATAATTAACTGAGATTAATAAATGCTTTAGTATTTTTATTTGTTAGTTCATGTTAACTATTGTAGCTAACTAATATTAACAAATAGAACCTTAAAGGGATACTATTCCCCCAAAAATGAAAATTAGCCCATGATTTACTCACCCTCAAGTCATCCTAGGTGTATCTGACATTCTTCTTTCAGACGAATACAATCGGAGTTATATTAAAAAAATGTCCTGGCTCTTCCAAGCTTTAAAATGGATTTTTTCACCCATCAAAGTGCATCCATCCATGATAAAAGTGCTCCACGCAGCTCTGGGGGTTAATAAAGGCCTTCTGAAGTGAAGCGATACATTTGTGTACGAAAAATATCCATATTTAAATCTTTATCGACTAAAATAACTAGCTTCCAGCAGACGGCCTACGCAAGTGGACTTACGCCAAAAGAGTAACACTTGACGATGTATGACATAGGATGTAAGAGTATCGTAAGCTTTGACGCCTCTCGCGGTTCAAACAAACAGCTGGACAACAAACTCAAACTCCTCCACCATTTCTCTTTAAAAATGGTAATTTTAGACTTCTAATTCGTGACAGGTGTTTTGCTTTACTCTATCCTCTGCGCTTCCGCGTTTGTCATTACGTTGTGCGTCAAGGTCAAAGTTTTAGATATGTATATTTCTCTTACACGAACGCATCGCTTCACTTCTGAAGGCCTTTATTAACTTTGGACGCACTGGATGCACTTTGATGGATTTAAAAAAATATACAACCGATCACTGCCATTATAAAGCTTGGAAGAGCTAGGACATTTTTTTATATAACTCCGATTGTATTCGTCTGAAAGAAGAATGTCATACACATCTAGGATGGCTTGAGGGTGAGTAAATCATGGGCTAATTTTCATTTTTGGGTGAACTAACCCTTTAACCAGAAAAGAAAGCTTTAATCATTTTTAGAATGAACCTTTATTTAATGCAACAATATTTTTTCCATATGAGAACATCAATAAATGCATGTTTTGACTGATTTAGCTCACTTGCAGTCACAAAATCCCCACATTCCTTATCTCACCTTAAAGACATGAAGCTCCTCCAGCAGAAGATCTGTGTTACTCCAGCTTCCCTTGGGCACAGAGATCACCTTCAGCACAGAGCCGACATCTGCAGAGAAACACAGAGGGGCTTTAACCAGGGCCGTAACTAGTAAAGACAGTTTAGTCTGGACTGTAGATCCTTTTGTCAATATTCAGACAGTATTCTACCTGTGCCGATGAACATTACATCGTAGTGTCCATCAGCTGCATTTACACGGTCTACAGTAATCTGAGTGAAGCTGTATGGTATTCCAGTACGCAGGAACACTGGCCGACCCCCCAGTGGAGTTACTGGATTAAACATTAACGGATGGTGCCTTGCAAACTGGATTACGTTATCAGGGAAACCTTTAGTTGACTCAAAACTGCCGAAGGTCTTGCTGGGACACTGAGAGAGAGAGAGAGAGAGACAGAGAGAGATATCTGTAGAATCCGGAAGCACAACCCATTCACATGATATCAACAGTCTACACAGGTCAGCAAGACCAAACCTATAACCAGTTATTGACAAATCTAAACCTATATTTACTTTCTAACATTCACACTACACTACACTTTACACTACTGTTCAAAGTTAGTGGTCAATTAGATTTTTTTATTCTTTTATTCAGTAAGAATGCATTAAATTAATCAGATGTGACAGCAAAAACTTACATTGTTAAAAAACATCTATTTCAAATGAATTATGTTTTTTTAATTTACTTTCTATTCATCAAAGAATCGTGAAAAAGCAAATGTAACACTGAAGACTGCAGTTTTTGATCAAATAAATTTCAAAACCATTAAAAAAATTACACCCCCAAACTTATGAATGATAGTGTATGATGTGAGGCGTATGAATCTGTTCTCACCATGCCTGGCCGTGGGTATGGCACTTTACCCTGGAAAGGAACCCACTGATAATTGGGACCTTCTTTATGGGCAAAAGGCCCTAAAAATGCCCGGCGAATGTCATTCATGGTGTAGAGACACACTGCAGAACCTTGAAATACACTGCTGTAAGACAAAACACACACACAGACCGTTAACACGTTACAGTACAAGGAGATAAAAATAGTCACACAAATGCTGAATTCAGGTATTTGGATTTACTTTTTCTCATTGAAATGACCAAAACTTGAATTTACCCTAAATGTTTTAGTTTAAATGTTTCAAAATAGATTGATATCAGACAGTGAATATAAACACTTCCCATACAAATCCAATTATTTAAATCTTAAAGGCACAATTCAGCTAAAAAATAAAATTCTGTTATCATTTACCATTTTTGTATGACTAACGTTCTTTAAAAAAAAAAAAAAAAAATTTGTTCCAATAAAGAAAGAAAGTCATACAGGTATGGAATAACACGAAGGTTAGAAACCAATTTCAATATTTAACTTCTTGGGTGAGCGATTTCAGCGATTTCAGGCCCAAACATAAATGATCACATTCATCTAATCTTTCCTAACGATCCGCTAGCTGCCCGGCCCATAAGCAGGCCGTCAAAAAAACGCGTCTCTGTAGGCAGCCTAGGCTCTGAGATCTGCACACAAAAACAATTAGTTTCACCAACCACTCAAAAACAAAATAAATAGTGTTCCAACCAATCACCGACAGGGGGTGGGTGTTGTGAGGTCGGAGCTGAAGAAGAAGCCAGCGTCTATCAACGAACCCATGTCGGTGATTGGTTGGAACACTATTTATTTTGGTTTTGAGTGGTTGGTGAAACCAATTGTTTTTGTGTACAGATCTCAGAGCCAAGGCTGCCTACAGAGACGCGTTTTTTTGACGGCCTGCTTATGGGGCGGGCAGCTAGCGGATCGTTAGGAAAGATTAGATGAATGTGATCATTTATGTTTGGGCCTTTTTGAGGCCTGAAATCGCTGATACAACCTTTAAACCACACCCTAAGATGAACTCTGACCTGGAGGTGGTAAAAACAGTGTAGATCAGCGGGTTCTTTCTATCACGGGTCTGCAGCAGAAACACATCCCCTAAAGGTCCAGACAAAGGTCAGCAGGCAATGAAATGCAATTGTCAGTTATATCAGCGTAATTTAACCCTAGTGTCTGTGTGTGTTTGTGAGCGTTCTTACTAAGTTCATCAAAATGCGTTTCAGTGCCATCATTGCCTGGTACAGAACACACAAGACGAGCCTTTAGAAATGTCGTCCACTTGTTTACTAGACTGCGCTGTCCCCCCATATCATTCTGTAACCAAAAAAACACGCATGTTAATTTAAATCTAGATGATAAACAGCAGCCAATAGCCATTAGGCTTAGTGATAAATGATTGGCTCCTAACCCTGCAAAGCTGGCCAATCCGGGAATATGTAACCTTCCCGAATCCCTGAGCTTCTACAGCAGTTTCTCTGAAGAAGAAGAAGACTTTATCATCGTCAGGATTCTCACTCTCGGGAACACCAAATGCCGCTATAAACTTGGGCTCTGAAACACACACCATCATCATAGGGCACATTGCCATTATACAAAAACAGAGATGCACATAAACACATGGGTCAATAACAAATAAGAGTATGCAAGATAAAATAATGTTTTTCTTTTAAGAATTTTTGGACTTTATACCCTCGAAAAAAAAAATCAAAACATGCTTATCACAGAGGATGTCTATTTAAGTCACTGTATGTGTGAATTGCATTTTTTTTTAAATGTTTTTTTTAAATAAATCATACACAAACGCACCATTGAGCCAGCGAGAATCGTGCTGTTCCGTTCGTATGGAAGGCCTTTGTCCCATGCTGCGAAATATTGTAAAGTCCCGACCCATCAAATCAGTGGCAACGCCAGCATAAAGCTCATCACCTATAAAGTAGATATGGTTACTGATTGTTCATGATGTAACAGTGTCTTTTAGATGGGAGATAGAAAGATGAACAGTGGCAGCTAACCAATCAGAACAGATGCTGATGTGTGGCGTGGGTCATACGGGCTCCTTCCTTTCCCATCTTCTACCAGAGAGGGATCAATTCTAAACACATGATCCTATAGAGACAAAGCAAAATATACTGTAGCTGTGCATTTGGCCATCAGAAAGCCAAACTGGGGCCATTTATCACACAAACTTATTCATATGCATCCAAACAAACACAAACGTACCTCTATCTTCTGTCCCACCTCCACATAAGCACAGGTGGGGTGGAAAGCCCCAGTCCCACAGGCGTACAGGTGAGTCCGGTTATAGTGGTGAAGCACTTTCACATAGTTTACACAGTCCGTCTGCAACACATGCATGCACAAATCAAATTTATGAAGGACATATTTTACATACTTTCACCAGTTCATCTGTGAGACAGGGAGACTGCCACCATCTGGATTGACTATCAGTAGCACGGAGCCACAGGCAGACGAAAACATTTTCGGTTTATCTCTTAAGGGACCTCGTATGGGGCGGATCATAAATGAAACGTCATTGCATTACGTATATCCTTGACGACAGTCTGACATGAGCGCTGACCTTTGCCTGCTCGCCGTGATCCCGGATCTCTCTGTAATCTCTCACGCTCTCTCTTTCACACATAAAAACAAAGACACATCGACTGTTCAACTGACATACATGGACACATATAGTCTCTGTTTCTCTTTTCCTTTGTGAATGTGCTCTCTGGAGCATGCCACATTTCCCAGAGTGCCTGGAATCACTACGACAACATTAGTGAGCGGGAACATTCGGATTCCAGGGTAGAGGGAGAGGCGGCAGGGATGAAGCATGGCCCGAAAGAGAGGAATGTGAAAGAGAAGAGACAACATGAGACAAGAAGGATGACATGAGACTTAAAAAGACGACATGGGACGAGGAGGAGATTGAGATGAGACAATAAGAGACAGCAACAGACAAGCAGAGAAGTCAGGAAGATACAAATAGAGCTAAGATGACCAAAAACAACAAGAGAAAAGACTAGATGAGATAACCAGAGAAGAGGAGGGACAAGATAAGATGACTCGAGAAGAGAAGAGAAAATACTGTATGAGAGGAGAAGACAAAAGTTGTGATGACAGGAGAAGAGTAGAAACAAGACAAGATGAAAAAGTAGATGTACTAGAAGACCAGAGGTACTAGACAAGAGACATGAAAGACCAAAGATGAGGTGACTAGATGAGGTGACTAGATGAGATGATTCAAGATAAGAAGAGACAAGAACACACAACACGAGTTAACAAGAGACGAGAAGATTTGAGAAGAAAATATATGTGAGACGAGATGAGACAAAAAGAGACGAGAAAAGACAGCAACTGACAATCAGAGGCAAGATAACCATAGACAGCAAGAGAATAGATGAGATGACTAGAGAAAAGAAAAGGTGAAAAGAAAAGAGAATTTATGTCAAGAAGAGACAATACGGCCAAAGACAACGAGAGAACAGACAGACAAGATAAGCAATGAAAGGGACAAGATGAAGAAAAGACACGAGACGAGATGAGACTAAACGAGAAGAGAAGACCAAAGATAAGACGACTAGAGAAGATGATTCAAGAAAAGAAAATACAACAAGGGTTAACCAAAGACAATATGTCCAGAGAAACCAGGAGAAGAGACAAGATGAGACAAAAAGAGACGAGAAGAGAGAGCGGAGATGAGATAACCTTAAAAGAGGAAGAGAAGAGACTAGATGAAATGAAAAGAGAAGACCAGAGAGGAGAGGAGAGGTAGAGCGAAAGGGAGGAGAGGAGAGGTAGAGAGAAAGGGAGGATAGGAGAGGAAGAGAGAAAGAGAGGAGAGGAGAGGTAGAGAGAAAGGGAGGATAGGAGAGGAGAGGAGAGGAGAAGAGGACAGGAGAGAGAGGTAGAGCGAAAGGGAGGAGAGGAGAGAGGAGGAGAGGTAGAGCGAAAGGGAGGAGAGGAGAGGAGATGAGAGGAGAGGAGATGAGAGGTAGAGCGAAAGGGAGGAGAGGAGAGGAAAGAGGAGTAGATGTAGAGAGAAAGGGAGGAGAGGAGAGGTAGAGAGAAAGGGAGGATAGGAGAGGTAGAGAGAAAGGGAGGATAGGATAGGAGAGGAGAGGAGAAGAGAAGAGGAGAGGAGAGAGAGGAGAGGTAGAGCGAAAGGGAGGAGAGGAGAGAGGAGGAGAGGTAGAGCGAAAGGGAGGAGAGGAGATGAGAGGAGAGGTAGAGCGAAAGGGAGGAGAGGAGAGAGGAGGAGAGGTAGAGAGAAAGGGAGGATAGGAGAGGAAGAGAGAAAGGGAGGAGAGGAGAGGTAGAGAGAAAGGGAGGAGAGGAGAGAGGAGGAGAGGTAGAGCGAAAGGGAGGAGAGGAGATGAGAGGAGAGGTAGAGCGAAAGGGAGGAGAGGAGAGAGGAGGAGAGGTAGAGAGAAAGGGAGGATAGGAGAGGAAGAGAGAAAGGGAGGAGAGGAGAGGTAGAGAGAAAGGGAGGAGAGGAGAGGTAGAGCGAAAGGGAGGAGAGGAGAGAGGTAGAGCGAAAGGGAGGAGAGGAGATGAGAGGAGAGGTAGAGCGAAAGGGAGGAGAGGAGAGAGAAGGAGAGGTAGAGCGAAAGGGAGGAGAGGAGATGAGAGGAGAGGTAGAGCGAAAGGGAGGAGAGGAGAGGAGAGGTAGAGCGAAAGGGAGGAGAGGAGAGGAGAGGAGATGAGAGGAGAGGTAGAGCGAAAGGGAGGAGAGGAGAGAGGAGGAGAGGTAGAGCGAAAGGGAGGAGAGGTAGAGAGAAAGGGAGGATAGGAGAGGAGAGGAGAGGAGAGGAGAAGAGAAGAGAAGAGAAGAGCAGAGGAGAGAGAGGAGAGGTAGAGCGAAAGGGAGGAGAGGAGAGAGGAGAGGAGGAGAGGTAGAGCGAAAGGGAGGAGAGGAGAGGAGATGAGAGGAGAGGTAGAGCGAAAGGGAGGAGAGGAGAGAGGAGGAGAGATAGAGCGAAAGGGAGGAGAGGAGAGGAGATGAGAGGAGAGGTAGAGCGAAAGGGAGGAGAGGAGAGGACTCTCCAGTTTTAGAAGCAGATGTTCCTGCTGTTTGGACTGTAATTATGCCTCACTCCATCTTCTCTCTCTGACTAACAGTGGGCTTTCAGCAGCAGAATGAACCCTGAACTGAACATCTGTTGAAATGTGCTCAAGATACACTCACACACTGAACTTCAGATATTAGGCACTTCTCCTTTAAGTTCCAGAGGACAATGTGACACTGACCCACTGTCCCAAAGCAAATCAGTTACAAAATAACTTGATTGTGTATCTATAATAATCTATTAAATGAAATATTTATAACCTGCATTTCATCCACCATGTTAGATTTTACTCATCACAATGCATTCTGGGATGCTAGAAAATGGCAAAAACAAGGTATCTTAGTAGGCAGCATAATCATGCCAGCTTAAAGGGTGTGTGTGTGTGTGTTTTGTGTGTAACCTCTCTGCTACCTCTACAGAAAGATGTGATTGACATGTGCCCTCCTGCCATGCTTAAACCCTGCACACAAACTCACACATGCACACACATACAGAGCTTGTGGAGAACAAAGGCCTCTCTTTGAGCTTAACGCACCCTGTGAAGAGTGTGTGTGTGTGTGTGTGTGTGTGTGTGCACGCTGTACGGAGGGGGTGGCGGAATAGAATCATAGAAGACCAATTAAGTTGCTGACAAACTGTGTTTATACAGGAAGGGGTCTCTCCCTTTCTCTCTACCTCTTGTACACACACACTGGTGCTTCTGTTTCGAGAGCTTTACAGCCCTCAATAAGGGAAGGACGTGTTAGGGATGTGTGTGAGCATGTGTGTGTGTGTGTGTGCTGAAGGGCTCTTTGAAGTGAGCCCACGAGACAAAGAAAAAAGACAGAAAAAGAAAAAAGACAGAAAAAGAAAAAAGAAAGAAAGAGAGAAAGAAAGAGACAGAGTGCAGAACAAAAGAAAAAGAGCTTTAAAATGAACAATGTCTCTCAGGAGGAATAAACCGTATGTGTGTGTGAATTTCCTGCTGAGACGCGTGCGGTGAACTTTCAACTTTGACCTTATTGGCCTGATCACTGGATCCCTGTGTGATTGTCCACATGTAGTCGACATCTACTATCAACAATTTATAAATACAGCTTTGCGAGTTTGTGAGACATTGTTCAAATTATAGTCAATGTAATAATACAAGGAATTCATTCAAAAATAATTTGATTAAAATTTAAGTCATTATTCACAAATAATCTTCTTCTCTTTAAAGATGTTGACTTTGACTAACTGCCGAGGGATCATTCAGTCAGTTCACTGAGTTGAACTTGAAAATCAAAGTTTTATATGATTCATGTTGATCCTGTTGATCCGATTCACAAAATCAAGCCAAATGATCAGCCCATTCTCATCCCTAGGCGTCATGAAACTGACGCCTTGGGAATCATTTTGACCATGCTTCAATATTCGACGCTTTAGGCACCCTTTAGCGTCAGTTACATGACGCGATCCTAGGGCGTCATCTTGATGACGCTTTACCTTTAACGTCAGTTAGATGACGCTATCTAATCCTAACCCTACCCCAGACCTAAACCTACCCGCGTCATCTAACTGACGCTTAGGTAAAGCGTCAGTAAGATGACGCCCTAGGATCGCGTCATGTAACTGACGCTAAAGGGTGCCTAAAGCGTCGAATATTAAAGCATGGTCAAAATTGTCATTTTAGTGACGCCTTGGGGTGAGAATGCGTTGAAATGATTTGTTCACAAATCGGACTGATTTGGTTCTCCAGTTCCACTCACTGACTCAGTGATTCAATTGCAGAGTTTCTCAAGAGAAGAGTTCATTTCAATTTCAGTCTCATTATATGAAGCTGCTGTTTGGCTTCAGAAGATGTTATATGACAGAGACTGAAAGAAAGGGAGTGAGAAAGAAGTAGGACATAAAGAGATTGAAAGACAGAGACCCGAGATTAAGGGAACTGAGTAAATTGAAAGAAATATTGAGTGAGAAATCAGAGTTCAGACTGAGACTGAACAAAAGAGAGATAGCATGAGAAAGTGAAAGGTCAGGGGGAGAGTCTTAGGGAAAATCTTAAGTCTTTATTCATGGAGGTCTGGTTCTGTCCCTGTCGTCCTGTACACACCTACATGTAATGAGGGTCAACTTACAGGTCAGTGCACTGAACAAAGTCTGTGTGTGTGTGTGGCAGATCTCATTGTCAGCTGACCTCAGTCCCACCGTAGAATGAACCCCGACACACACACACATTTTGAAGTTACACAACCTTCCACGCCCTTTAAAATATAAAGAGAACATTCAGACAGACACAGTGTCCAAAAACATCCCACACACATCCGCTTAACACTCCAGATAAAACACACACAAGCTACAACATACATGAACTATGACCTTTTGACAAACATGCTCAACATGTTACAACATAAGTATCAAAGAGATACTGAGAAAACTGCAAAAGAACCATGGTAATAGAATTAGACAATACATGACTATACTATTTTGTTTTAGTTTTTTTAATATGCCATGGAAAAAATCATGCCTTTTGGATATACTCTATGTAAGTTTGAGGTCGGCAACATGTTATGCTCACCAATGTTGCAATTATTTGATCAATAACACAGTAAAAATGTACAAAACACTCTTTTTTTAAAAGAGTTTTAATATATTTTAAAATGTAATTTATTCCTGTGATGGCAAAACTGAATTTTCAGGATCATTAGTCGTCTTCAGTGTCACACGATACTTCAGAAATCATTCTAATATGCTGATTTAGAGCTCAAGAAACACGTGTTATTATTATCAATGTTGAAAACAGTTGTGCTGCTACATATATTTTGTAAACTGTAGTACAATTTTTTCTTTGATGAATAGAAAAGTTAGAAAAAATAGAAAGAACAGCATTTATTTGAAATAGAAATCTTTTGTAACATTATAAATGTCTTTACTGCCACTTTTGATTAATTTAATGAAATAATAATTTAATAATAATAATAATTTAATGAAATCACTAGATTTTATCAGTAACACTTTATAATAAAATGTATCAAAAAACTAACTAAAACTAACATTATTACAATATATGATGCTTATCAGATAAGCAAATATTCATTAATATTATGAGAACATTCAATATTTTATAAATCTTCTTTGTGGGCCCCTTGAAGTATGTTCATGGACCCCACAGACCCCTGATAGAAAACTTTGGCTGTATTTCTACATTGATGTCTGTAAATGATAGAGCCGTTTGGGAAAGCTGTTGGTGATAGCAGTGCTAATTGCCTTGTGTGTGTTTGTGTGTAAACAGCTCATAGGAGAGATGGTACCGATAAGTGTGTAAACCAGATATGTTAATGACCACAAGATCTGATTATTGCAGAGACTCACATTGATATCTTTCCCGGCCCAGTTGCACTCTTCTCTCCAATCAACAGGCGCTGGCCAGTAGATCTGACAAACAGAGAGTTCAGAGGTGAGGAAGAGTTTTGGCTTAAGGTTAGGATCTTAGTTTGCAGGGTTAGACGTGTTTAGTAGCTTGAGGGACATTCTCGCTGAACCCCATCAGAGACACAGTTAAAACACGTCCAGGGGCGATGCACACATGCACAATACATCCGGACGTATCCTCCCGTAACCACACCTGTGTGTGCTTGTGTGAGTCTAGAGCTATAGCACACAGTGACCGACAACTCTCACTAATCATTCCTTCCTAAAGAAATAAAAATCCATCATTCTGTCATCGGCACATTGGCCTGGACCACCATAAAACATCTGGTGTGACTTTAAAGGCTGATTAACTTTACACACAATAAATGCTAAAGCTTCTTCACTGATTCTCTAGCACAAACACACAATTAATCACGTGTGGGCGGCACAAAATACAAGTGTAAACGGGCTTTTAAACATCCAATCGTGTAATCACTTCATTTGTTAATATAAGCAGGGTCAAGTTATGCCCCTGGACTACTTTATTAAAATAAATGTATGACAGAGATATTATAGAGAGCACAGGAGTGAAAAAAGCTGGCAGCAGATTCACAAAACATACCTAAGAACAAAGTTTGTTGAACATCTGAAACACAAGTTTGTTGATCCTGGAACAACATTCCTGTCCGAAATCATAGTCCTAACCCTAACCCTATACCTACCCCTAACCTAACCCTACCCATAACTTCTCCCTAAAATCAGAGGGAATGATAGGAGAATAACACTGCTATAGAAACACCTAAACATGGCTGTAAGCCTAAACTTGACATAAACTGTAAACCTGTCCCTCAAATCTGATTGGTTGATTGGAATGTTGACCCAGGAACATGTTGTACTTGGTGAAATCAGATTCACCTTGTAAATAACCTCAACATTTAGGATAAATCTCAAAATGAAAGATATTTAATGAATTTTTTGTATTGTTTTTAAATATTAAGCATTACAACAACAGATATTATTACCACAATATTGTTGTGGTATATAATATTTTAGTATAGAAAATTTATCATTTACATACATAATATATAATATTATTAATACAAATCTTACTATGATGTTAATATTACACATGTACATTATAATATAATATATATATACATATATATATACATATTCTTAAAATATCTATGAACACTTTAAGACTTTATGTTTTCAAGAATTGTATTTAAGAAATATCTTACAAACTTGTGAACTTTGTGACTCCGTCCCAAGGTGTTTATGCTGTATATCAGTGAGTTATGATTGACTTTGTTAAAAATAATGATTGACTTTGAAAAACAGAATGGAAGATGTTTCCTTTCACTCTTACATTATGGATGAAGGAATTGAAGAAGAAGATGGAAAGAAGGAGAGTAAGGAATGTGCTCTACCTTCTGTTCCTGTTTGCTGATGTTGTCGAGGCTGAGAGATAAAAGAAAGTTACGAGCTCCAACAAACAGCCGCCCCCTCTCCTCGTCCAATAGGAGAGCTCCGAAACAACACGAACGCTCTAAGTCAAACCGCTTAACGCCGTTAAACTGCTGAAGATCTGGAGAACACACCAAAAAACTCAAATGTAAATCCAAACACATGTATACAGACATAAATGTGTACATGAGGTACAAGCCAGTTTCATCACCTTTATAAGACAGCTTCATCCGGGGTGAGGAAGGTGAACTTCCGCTAGATGAAGCACTGATGCCGATCAGCCCGAGCAGGACCAGCGAGCTGCATATCATCATCGTCATCATAGTCATCATCTTCTGAGGAGGACCAGAACTTCGTATCAGTTATAAACAGCAGACAGCTGCCACACAGATGGTTGACTGGGATGCTGGTTGTCGTGGCAGCTGTTGCCGTGGCGGATCTCAGTCGTCCTGCTTGTTGTGACAGTGATGCTGTGGATGTGGAGTTTCCTCTCTACACCGAAAGCTGGACACCAAAAAAAAAAAAAAAAAAACTGTTTAAGACTTTCACTTTCATTTCCCTTTCATAACTAGTTTTTAGTACTTCCTGACCCCCTTTTCACCCGCTCCTACAATACATTTGTCCGATAATAGCCATGATATTTCAGATATGCAGACGCACACACTCACACATGCTTTATTTCAGTAGCAGATGGTCTAAAGCTACTGTCCTATCTAAGATGAGGAGGGAGAAATCTGATCTCATATCACACACACACATACACATATGAAGCATTCGGTCTTGTTGAGCCGTTCATTTTGATCTTTTTATGGTTCTGGTCCAGATTCACTGAACGCACAAACTGAAAGCCAAGATCCACTCGGTCAGAACACCGTCCAGCTCTCACTTCAGACCAACAACATCTAATTGCTGCCGTCTGTGTGTGTGTGTGTGTGTGTGTGTGCGTGTGTGCTTGCTTACTGCACTAGGTCATATTCAGCATGTGGAGGGTAAAGAAATAATGAATTAGAGGAGAGAACAGGAGAGGAGCGGTCTGACTCTATACAGTATCATTTGGAAGCATATCATTCAGATAAACTGCAAAAATCCTCAAGCTAAAACAGTAACCACTTAGTCAAAACAGTCAGATAATTGAACACACTGACGTATTTACACACTTCTTGATTTTAATGTTCTCACTTTATCTCATATTTTGGGTTTAAGACTGTGTGTGTGTGTGTGTGTGTGTGTGTGTGTGTGTGTGTATGAGTTCAGTATGTTATGTAAGACTTTAAGAGGAAACCGTATGGTCATTTTATACTATTTGTGTCCATTCAGTCCTCCAATCTGTCCTCCCTTTTGTCTAATGCATGCCAAAATAAAACACGATTAAATGATTAAAAAATCTTTACATTTCTTTCTGCATCTCTTTCTGATGTTCAGGTGCTAGTAAAAGACAGATTATTGCTGTATTTAAGTACATACAGTTGTTGTCATAAGTTTACAACCTTTGCAGAATCTGCAACATGTTAAACATTTTTAAAAAGTAAGAGCGATTATAAAAATTGCATTTTGTTTTTATCTAACACTGCCCTTTATAAGCTATTTCACATAACAGATGTTTATATAAAGTCCAGGTAACAATAAACAGTATTAAGCACGCATGAACTTTGAATTGTTTCATTTGTGTAAATTAAGTTATTACTTTGTCTTGTGGACCATAAGTAAACATCTGTTATGTAAAATAGCTTATTCAGGGCAGTACAAAAAAATGTTTATTTTAAGATCCCTATCAATTTTCTTAAAATATGAACATTTTGAAGATTACACAGGGGTATGTAAACGTATGATCACAACTGTATACATGTGTGAGTTTTAGGTTTAAGTTAGATGATAGAAATATATATTTAGCTCGGTTTAAAAACAAAAGAAGTTAACTGAAAACGTCCCACTATGATCTGTATGTTGAAATGAAGACAGAGATAAATGATAAGTGTTATAAGAGGATAATACAACAGAGAGTGATAAATTACAATTTTTTTAAATCTGCTACATCTCCAAAACCCTGTTAGCAACACACACACACACACACACACACACACACACACACACACACACACACACACACACACACGCTGCAGTGTTGAATTTTAATAAGTGTTAGTGAGCATCACCAGTAAGATGAGAGGAGACCTACTGACTCCACTGAATATAGATTTTACCCCCGCCCCACACACACTTACACACACAGTTTTACTGCAAAGCTAAAATGTACAGAATCCTGAAAAACAAGACCAGCGTGTGAACTTTTTAAAAATGTATTTTAAACAGAGGAACAAACCAAACCAAATATAAAAGTGCTTTGTTCTTTCTTCCTCTCTTTCTGTTTCTATCGCTGTGAATAATGGAACTATTCACACTGGCAGACAGCAAAAGTCTCATAATAAAACACACACTGACACACACACACACACACACACACACACACACACACACACACAGTCCCTCTGTAGCGCTGTCAAACTGATTAGCTGTGCTAATTTACTATAAACACACAGTTAATATGAGCTACTGCAGGCCCGCATTCGAGTACATCCAGCAAGATTCACACCCCCCATCCTGGGAGATTTATACAAGAGTAGAGCAGAAAAGTGCATCCCAGCGCCCTTCACATCTCTTTAAGCAAAGAGGCTGTGCCAACGCAGCAAATCATACATCATCATTACAGCCAAGGCTGTAGCAGGACACGCTTGCTCACTCGCTCGCGCACGAGCACACACACACACACACACACACACACACACAGAGGAAGGCTCTTCCACAGGAACCAGGGCTTAAAACCAGACTAAATGCTGCTAAATCCAAAATAAACAAACAATAATTAACCTTAAGACCTCAATGCCACAATGACAACACCAGACAAAACAAGCCTAATGAGAGAGAGAGAGAGAGAGAGAGAGAAGCGAGAAGGAGGTAACTGTGGCATAAGCCTCTCGGTTCATGACGCTCAGTGCAAGCGAGACCCTGAAGAGAGAGAAAGAGCGAGAGAGAGCGAAAGAGAAGAGGAGAAAGGAGTCGATTGTTCTGCTGAACGGCTCCTCTGGACTGCGACCAACTGTCAGAACGTCCAGTAAGGGAGCGAAAGAGAAAGGAAAGATCGAAACGTGTGAGGAAAGGCTTTGCTCACATGCAGGGGGAAATAAAGGAATAGTTCACACACACAAAAAAGAGAAAATTCTGCCATTAGTACCCCATACTGTTCAAAACCTGCACGGCCGCATGAGAGTTCATAAGTCTGATTCATAAATGAACAGTTCTTTTGAATCAGATCTTTTCAATGAATCTGTTGATTCTGTTTTGGGGTAAACTATCCCTTTAAGCAAATGCAGGTAGTTGTTGTTCTTAAGGAGAGACAAAGAGAAATGGCATTCTTTGTTAAGTGTTTTCAGTCTTTGTACTGGAAAGAAACAACCAACCTTGCTGACTTTTCTTTTGTGTTTCAGTCTTTGTAGGTCCAACAAGGGCACGCTGGCACACTAACATGAGTTATATTTCCCTCCTTAGTCTCTCACTTGTGACTCTCTCTCTCTCTCAGCCTGAGAGTCTCAGACACATAGATGTGAACATAAAACCACTCAAAACCCTCTTGCTTTAGATCAACTACTACATTCTCTGAGATAAAACTGTGTATACACATAACAAAGACAGACACAAATCCCTTCAAATGGAGTCCAGATAATGAATTTGGCGGATCTTACCCGTCAGGAACAACAGCAAGTTTCGGCAAGTGTGTGAGTGTGTGTGTGTGTGTGTGTGTGTGTGTGTGTGTGTGTGACTGCAGCGATCTACCAGGTCAGCCACGAGCCCTCAGTCCATTTAAAATAATACACACAAGTACAAAGCTCTCTCACACAGGCACTCTGTCAGAATGATAGAATGAACTTTAAATTAGAAGAAAAATGAGGGGAGAGAGATACAGAAAGAGAGTTCAGGAGAGAACTTCAGATGGTCTAAAAGACTCAGAGCTCTTTTTCAGGCTGATTGTGTAAGTCTGTGTGTGTTCGACGAGCTCCACTATTACTATTGATTATACTTAATTATATTTTAGTTAGTGATCTGAACAAACCAGTAACCATAAGTATTAGATTTCAGCAAGTAACTTTGCCTTATAGTAACCACCTAGAAAAGCCCTTGCATCCACACAGAACACCCTTGCAACTGCATAGTTACACTAATATCCCAATGAGAGCATCTTAGCAACTGCATAGCAATGCCCTGGCAACCAGCTACAAAACCATAGCAACCATATAGAAAAGCCCTTGCGTCCATGCAAAAACACCCTTGCAGCTGCATAGTTACATTAAAGCCCCACTGAGAGCACCTTAGAAACTGCATAGCAACACCCTGGCAACCTCCCACAACACTCTAGCAAACATCTACAATTGCCCTAGCAACCACATATAAACTCACTTGAAACCGCATAGCAACGCTCTGGCAACCACCCACAAATCCGTAGAAACCACATTGAAAAGCCCTTGTGTCCATGCAAAACACCCTTGCAGCTTCATAAAGTCACACTGAAGCCCCTTTGAAAGCACCTTAGCAAAACCCTGGTGATGACCATAGTGATGCCCTGGCAACCACTGACAATTGCCCTAGAAACCACATAAACTCTCCCTTGTAACTTAATTGCAACGAAATGGCAATCAGCGACCTAGAAACACCTTTGCAACCACCCACAACATTTGCCCTAGCAACACACTACAAAACCTTTTAGTAACTGCATAGTGATAGCAATGCCCTGCCAACGATCCAAATCATGCTAGTAATCACCAAGAATTGCCCTAGCAACCCCCTAGAAACACAAAATGTAAAAACCTTTTTAGGATTACTATTGTTAACATTATGTAGAGCTTCACTCACACACATAAGGATATCTGTAATGTATAATGTGTGTGTGTGTTTGGCAAGGATCCATGGTTGCGGGGCTCGGTGCAAACACTTCTGGAGGGTTAAGGACTTATAGGACAAAACTCTTTTTCTCTCTCTCTGTCCCAGATAATAGTGCTCCTTAACCCCAGTCTGGTTTTCTGATTACCATGGTAACGTTGGGTATTTGATGTGTGTGCTGCTGTATAATCTTTAAAGTCTATTAAACACTTTAAACCCCTTGAGTTCAAGAGGTACTCTGATACTGTACTCAAAGACTACAGCTGTGTGTGTTAGGGTAGGTGTGTGTGTGTGTGTGTGTATGCACAATGTCCTGTTAATGTATTGTTTCTGGTGTAGAGTTTGTAGGGTCAGCTGTGTAAAAGAGCAGATAGAGTGGTGAGCTTTAAGAAGATGTCATTTCAATTGTTTGCCAATAAATGAAGGGTGTTTCACTTATAAAGTTTGAATAGAGGACACAGATACACAAACACACACACTCTGGAGTTCAGAAGGAAATAAACTCTTGTCCCACACCACAACATCCCACGACTTTTAAACAAATGAGCATTACGTCAGCATGAGCAGCTGACGTC